TAGACTGATGTATCCAGCAAAACTCTCTTTCAAAATGGAGGGGAAATAAGACACTTCCATGACAAAGAACACCCGAGAAACTACATGAATACCAAACCAGCACTACAAGCAATTCTAAACAAGATCCTAGAAAAAGACAATGAAGGCAACAACACCATGAGGCCCAACAGAGCAAATCAAATAGGCAAGGCAAGAAATTAAAACGAGAAGGTGAAAAAGTAAAAAGAGTCAGCAAAAGGCCAATAACATGTCAATAATAAGTCAGTACATATCAGTTATAACCAGCAATGTCAATGGCCTCAACTCACTAATCAGGAGAAATAGACTGGCAAAATGGAATAAGAAGCAAAATCCAACAATATGTTGTATACAAGAAACACACCTAGTGCAAAAAGAAGCCCATAGACTGAAAATGAAAAGATAGAAAACAATTCTTCATGAGACAGGAGCCCAGAAAAAAACAGGAGTAGCAATCTTATTTGCAGATAAAGTAAATTTCCAACCAAAACTGAATCTAGTATTATTGATGTAGGATGGTACTGTGTCATACCTCTATGAATGTAAAATATCTAGTACCTGCTTTATGATACATAGTAGGGACGGTGCTTTGTCAGAGCTACATTTAATGATATTACTCTAGAACATTCTCTTTCCAGACGATGATTAAGAGGCTAATAGAAAAAATGGTGCCAGGTACCACAGCAGCAACAGAACTTTGCTATTCTCTGGATGTTATTCTTTTCTTTGGTTTTTTGGGTTTTTTTTTTTAATGGAATGTGCTGAGTGTCTATTAATTTTGTTCAGACGACTGCAGAACCTGGAAAAGCTGTTGCTGCTATCGATGGATAATACCTCTTTTTAAAGTGATGTGATTATTTTTGGATAATGTCCAAATATTTAAAAAAATTTCAGATCTAGAGAATAAGAAATTTTAACAAAATAAACTGGATTTACACTCTATATAAACATACCTTTTACAATCTATTCATTTAAAATGTATCATTATATTTGCATACAATTCATTGTGCAATTATACTTCAAATTAATTAAAATAACATTGTAAATGGGTTTGTTCATATTTTTAGAATGCAGTGGACATTGAAATAAATATTCACATGAACATATATGTATGTATATCTGGGTGTCTTTACTCATTGTTGAGACAAAATACCCAAAACCCAAAGTTAGAGCAAGAAAGGTTTGTTTCAGCTTACAGTTTGTAGAGGTTTCAGTCCATAGTCAGCTGGCTCCAAAGCAGGGGCCATGGCAGAGAGGCATCAACAGAGAGAAACAGTGCAGGACAGGCAGAAGGCAGCTCAGCAGCACAGCCGCAAACCTTCTTTCTGTCCTGTATATTCCATTTGGGCTACCTGTCCTTTGTGCATGTAACTTTCATACACAGGGTGGGGCAACCTCAATCCCAGCATCACA